TTGTTTTTGTTACTGAATGAACCTGTTCCCAGTAAGGGCTGCAGCTAATAATTATTCTAGTTTCCATTTATTCTATTGATTTAATCGGATGGCACTTTCTGTAGATTTTTCATTTAACTGCTTAAGTTTATTTTATGCTGCAATAAAAATGCACGAGAATGCAAATAAACAAATTGTTTTTTCAAATAAAAATACGGACATGTTGGCCCAAATGAATTCCTTTAGTGAATGCTCGATCATTTGTAGCAAAGAATCCATCTAAAAAATACTTGGATGCAGTAATCTTTTGCATTACTGCATCTAAGTATTTGATAGCAAACGATTAATTGGAGATTGTTTGGATTGCATAATTTGAACCAGGTGAAGCTAAATCTATGCGACTTGAAGAGATTGCAGTAGGACATATTTCAAAGAAGATTTTCTTTTTCTTAAATGCAAAATGTAAACAGTTTTTTGTACAGTTTGGTTTTAATTACTGCTCTGTGGTGTCCTTTCAGCAAGTTGCCTTTTTGAGTCTGCTTACGCCAGTTAACGACAAATCGGTTATTTAGATAAATGTCAACTAATTTAGTAATCGATTCGTCACGATTCATCCGATTAATCGTTTCAGCCCTACCTCCCAGGTTCTTCACATTATACAAGCGGGAAACTTGCAACAATTTAAAAAAAAAAAGAAGAAGAAGAAATGAAAGTATCACTTTGACTCTGTCGGTGCTCTTTGTATCTGTGTGCTCTAAAGAGAAGACGATGGGAGCACGGCTTAATGGGCTGTCACATCCTTCTCCGCTCAGCTCAGCACACTGACCCACTTTGGCTCCCTGACTTTGGTGCATTTGCTGCAGTTTTTTTTTTTTTTTTTTTTAACCATCTGCAGCAAGCTCTCCTTCAACCAGGCAGCGGCGAACACTCTTAAACAACACACACAAACGGCAGAGGCAGCTAAAACGTACAACGCAGAAACACACAACTGCTCGTATCTGCGAGCGTTGGGGAGAGAGGGAGGGCGTTTTGTGGCGTTCTCTCACACAACGGGCACAGATTCAGACATGAGACTCGTCGGGGCTGTTGGGTGTCAAATGTGGTGCCGCAGACTGCGACTGGCAGAGCTGTCACAACCGCTCTGTTCGCGCTGAATGCTAAACATACCAGACCCTTTATATACAGCCTTGACTGCTTGAGATTTGTTTATGATCGCACGATCCTGGGCATGGAGAGAATCCCAAAGTTAGCTCTTTGGACACATGAGGAGCTTTAAGTGGTAAAACGTGATGATTCCTGTTTCTGTCTGACATTAGGGAACGCCGTGGAGCAGCATTGGGTCTGAATGCCTGGTTCTCGGCACCATCTGGGAAGCAGTGCCACAGCTCTGTTATGGCTGCCACAGATTAATAAATTATGAACATGGCTTTGGAAACGTCGGATCCAAATAATTGCACAATGAACAACAGATGGTTTTAGAAGAGAAACATGAATGGAAAGTTTATTTTTTTAGAAACATTTTGACCCTCAGGTTGTCTCTTGTGTGCAGGGCAGTGACACTCTTGACCGCTTAATGACTTTAATAATTGAGAATATGCACATTTGTTTTGATGTAATTATTTCCTCTAGTGCTGTCATATATTTAGAAATTTGTTGTGAAGAAAAACCTGTCAGTGTTCAAATACTGTACTTTAGAGGCAAAAAACTAAAAATATTATTAAAACTTGAGGTACAAAAGTAGATCACAGCCAGCTGATTCTGGGTGTTGGTTGACAATTTAGTTTCTAGGTAATTCCCCCAGAATGTTTACCAATAGAAATTAGCTGCACTAGCATTTAATTTTTCTCAGCGTCTGAGCCAAGTGAACAACAGATTGCACATCGGTATTGTGTAGCATTAGCTTGAAGCTACTTTTCTTTTTTTAAACTTAATTGCATATCATTTTGAGAAAACAAGCTGTAGATGACCTTTAACTAATGGTGTAGATATATTTGGACATTTTAATGTATTAGAATAATTTTTTAGCTATTTATTTATTACAGGTTTTGTTTTAAGCACTCCGGGTTCACCAGAGTGCTTTTAAATTCCCGGAAAAGGTGCCGGTTTGCGATGGTACAGAGCTACTGCTTTCGGGAAAACGTTTCTCCTGGCTTCCTGGCCTGTACTGGAGAAATCGGAAATCTGCTGTTTATGAATCCATTTTTGACTTTCAGAATTTCCAACCACCTCTTTCTTTCTGCTTGATTTCTTTAGTTCTTGTTTTTTTTTTAAATACATAGACATGAGAATAACCACTAAAATACACAATTGTGTGGTTCAATCCAATAGCTGTTGGGTAAAAGGTACAAATCATGTTATATGCTGTTTAAGTTCAACAGATGAAATGTTTTTTTCTGCAAAGGGAGATTGAGGTGAGGAGAAAAAGGACACAGGATACGAAGTGTAAGGAGGACAGTGGGTTTGTTAGATGAAGGTGCTGAAGACCTGCTTTTCTGAGCCTCCAGAGAGACGAGTGTAAATGCTTGTCGCAGTACCTGGAGTGTGTTGCATGCACAAATATGCCAGCGCAGGCATATTGGGGCATTAAAAAAAAAAAAAGAAAAATCTCACCACCTAAATTTGCCTCTCAGCAGCTTGGCCTGTATTTGAGCGTGTGAAGTGCAGTTTATGTGCTTGTGATGTCTTAGAATGTGAATAGAGGGAGAAATGGCTCTTATTTAAGACACCTGCCATGAGTCATATTCAGTTTAATGACACATCTCCATCCTACAAGCCTCAACTCGAATTGCTCTACATCCTGTCACTCGTCCTCTGGTATTTTCTAGCTTCATCCTCCGGTTCCCAGCTCGCCTTATTTAAGACATGCTTGCTCTGCTAAAACATTGTCGTGGCTCATGTTGGGCTTTGGCGGCTGTCCAAATACAAACCAAATCCTTATCACCGCATGCTTCAAATTCTGTCAGCTGAACACTTAACATTCCCTGGACTCTGAACCTCAGGAAGCCAAACACTCAGCCCTGAGGAATTATGTCACCATACATTAAACAGTCTGCTTTCCTGGCAGGAGTGTCGATGTCAGACAAAAGGACTTTTCTGTCAGAAGTGAGGGCTGGTTATGACTGCATGTGTAAGGTCATGACACACAGTTTTTATTAAAGTGAGTGTTTTACTTAATGGGAAGTTATCGCTACTGGTGATTTTTGTAATAAAGTTAACATGGGATACAACGCTATAGTATCTAAACGACTTGAGGTTGTCAACATGAAATACCCAGTAATGTGTTGGATTTCACTGGTGTTATCATTTTTAGTTAAATTGCTAACTCAGTTAAAACAGAGGATATGTTTAGCTAACGGCTAGCCTTTCACCTCCTTGGGGATTTCTTTGCTTTTCTACAAGCTCTACTGACATTTACTGGTTACTGATTGGTGTAGACCTTAGTGATGCACAATATTTGTGGAATATTATCACTGCACTATTAGTGTTGCAATAATAATACTGCAAATTGCACCGACTGCAATTTTCTGATCTTTAAAAATCTGATCCAGTGATTCAGATTTTGGCCAGTACTGATTTATTTATTACATTTTTTTGTCTGGCAAATATTGCGGCAAAGTTGACAAGTTGGCAATGGTGGAGTTGCTATTAGAGTTGTAACTTGGTGGGCTGAGGTAAAGGGATCGGTGGATAAGATCGGTTTCTTGTTTCTCCCAAAATAGAGGAAATCGTTGCCGATTTATTGGTGCACCCTTAATCTAAAAGAAATTCTTCAAAATGCCATAATTGTTTACTGATATGTTTTTAAGTATCATGATATTCAGCTTGTTGGATGAAGCCTGACTGCAGCAGACGCCTCACAGAGATTATGGTGACCACGATGCTGAACGTCACAGTTGTACCCAGTCGGATGATGTCCAATATCAAGCAGTGAAGTTTGGTAAAAGTTACAGTTGTAAAACCAGGATGAGACGATGGAGTGACGGAACTTCTCCTTGCCTCTGCAGAGCATTGAGTAACTATACCCCTCCCCCACATGTTGCTGTACACTGCCAGTCAGCTGGCTGAAAGAAGTAATTGGCATTTTGGAAAAAATTCTCATCCGCACTAATAGTATTCCAATGGAAACTAATACCTCTTATTCAGGTATTAGTTTTTGTTTTTGTCAGCAATCCAAATAGTTTTGCCTTTTGCATCTTAAATCAGATGCTGCCTGCAGGACCAAGTGGATACATATACAGCAGCTGGCTGGATGGTTCACCTCATGTTATTGTTTCCACTCGTTTCTGTACTTCTAACTCCGTGTCTGGTCACTGATAACTTCTTGGAGATTCACTTCCCAAAACCTGCACTGCTCCTTTAAGGAGCCGTAAGCCGCTTGGAGGACGGTTGAGTTCAGGGCCACCGAGCGGCTCCAGGTGAAATGAATGACAGCTGACGAGCAGAGACCTGCTCTTAACCTGGAGCATTTACACCGCTGAGGTCAGCCTTGCTGTGCGACAGAGACGTAGACTTTACGAACCCAGTTTGTTATAAACCTTTTCTACCCTTCAAAAATGTGAATCCATTGGGGTTTTTTTGTTGTTGTTGTAAAGGTAGAATATCAGAAAGAGAGGCCTGTGATTTGACCAACAAAGCCCTTAAAGATGTCTTTGATTAGTATGAATGTTGATCTTTTGTTTGATCTGCTGCTGATCGTGATGAAGAGGAGATCTGAGACGCTGTATGAAGTCTAAAGGCCAGCCTCGGTCTGCCTGCAGGCACACATTGCTTTCATTTCATCACACGAGCTGTGATCCCTGAGTGTAGTGAGCCACCTACTGGCCACTTTTGTAATGTAGGGACAATCAGAGCTGAGCATATAATGAATGAGGTGTGAGTTATGATGTGTTATTGGGGATTTTTGGTCTGTGTGCTGCATGCTGCAGCTACTGCAGTGTGTGTGTGTGTTTTTTTTTCCCTTTTCTTGGAAAACAATCCTGCTGCTTCCCTTTCCATTTTCAGCTTCTCTCTTTTTCTTCCAGCCTGGCTGCATAAGCAGACCTCTGAGAAGGAGTGGACCCAATAGAGAGGGAGGCAACAGAATACAGAGAAACGAGCAGCTTCCCCTCTGGCACTATGCGCATCTGACACACATCTACTAGGTATGGACAGCTTCTTTTTTTTTTTTTTTTTTTTTTTGTGGTGCTTTGCTTCCAGTGACTCAGTGTTTCTGCCTCTCAGGTAGTGTGTCATTTTGGTGTCTTAAGAGTTTTTCACCATCATCTTGAAGAATATTTCAGAATCAGAGCTTTTTATTGGTAGCTGGATAAAAACACATATAAGGTTCTTGCGATTGTTGATTCCTTCAGTTTCGTCTTGTTCAGTTTTGATGATTACAGTGGAAATATTTCTCTTTCTTTTCTGAATACAATTAGTAACCAACTTATATTAACTAATATTCCTTAGATATGCTGCCAACTTGAATGTTTCTTTTTTTCTAGATTTAGGATAACAAGTGGAAATTTGTTTTTCTGCGTATATGCAAAGTGTAATTTTAAGGGGGATTTATGTGATTCTGATACTGGAAAAATAATTTAAAAACCTTTTTGCAGTTGCAGCGATTCTGCTTAAAAGTTGTTAAATATCCATGTTTATTTATAAAAATCATTATTTTACTTCTCAATATATTGATGTATTTTTTGAATTACCAATTGGATTCTCTCTTTTCAATCCTATTCATTCTAATTAATATTTTCAGTTTATGAAATATGAAAAAACATCATTTAGAAAAGATTTACAAAGGGAGTTAAAAGTAAAAAAATAGGAATCATATTTCAGTGGAAAACAAAACAATCATGGAAAATTACTACCCATTCCAAAAATACACAACTCAGCCAGATTTTGCGTCATTTGCACAAAGTTATGCAAAAACAAAATTCAAGAAACACGACACAAAAAAAAAAAAAGGTTCAGGACTCGCCACCGTTGGAGGAAAAGGAATCTGTTCATATCTGTATTTATGCGAACCATGATGTTTGGTGTGCTGAAGAATCTAAATTATTGGGTCCAGAGCAGAACAAGGCATCCATAAGGCATCGGAGCAGGAAGTAAAGAAAGATAATTACAGACATGAGATTTAATAAACGACAGACTCAGACTCGTAAACACAAGGGAGCGATTGCTTCCTGTGCAATCAGGCTCTGCTGTCCGACAGAAGAAGGGAAGCTCGCATGATCTAACGCCGTTTGCTTTTTGCTGGGCAGCAGCAGTGAAGCCTGCTAATGGTCCTTAAAGCACAATCCATTCACGAGGGGAAAATGCACTCTGGGGTCGTCAAACAAGATCAGTTGATATTAATCGATAGCAGAACTTAGGATTTCGTCGTCTGATCATCTCCACTAAAACCTGTTGCGTAACTTCACACGGTCTCGTTCTCTCGTTGGCATCGAACCGACTTAATGTTTCCCTTTTCTGATCTTCTGATAAAGGAAAGAAAAGCAGCTTGGAAGATCCAAACAGGTGTTAAAAGTCGGTCGGATTAGATTTAATCTCATTTGTAGTTGAAGTGAATTCATGATTCTAAAGTTGGCTGGGAGTTTTCCATCTATAATTATTATCATCGTTACCTCAGTAAGCGTGATGGTGGCGCTCCTTTAGTGTCCACTCCATGGCTGTCTACGTCTCTTAAGCGACCGGGAATATTTTCAAAGGAAGAGGTGTAAAAGTGTTGTTGCCTTCTTTCAGCCAGCTGACCAGCAACGTGCAGCAATGTTTGGAAACAAGTCAAACCAGCACCTACAAGTCGTCAATGAGAAGGATTTTAAAGGGTACGAACACAGATTAGGTAAAAAAAAAATTATATATATATATTTTAAAGTAGAAGTAAAAATTATTATTTTAAAGACGTAAAAATACTTAGTTTAAGTTGGTTCCTTATGAGTCAGTATTTGTGCATTTAAGACATAAATGTGATGTTAAATCTGTTGTTCGAATAGCATTAAGATGTCACAACAACATTACTGGGAGTGCACAGATATATTTGTATTTTAAAACCAAAAAAATATTAAAGGTAATTTCAGTCCTGAGCTGGAAAAAGTATTTATCAATAAATTCTTGTGAAAATGTCATTAAGTTGAATTTCAGTCCATTTACAACAGGACTAGATTCCTTGAAAAGGTTAAAGTTGTGATTTTTATTTATTTTCTTTCAACCTAGAAATTTTAACCAGAATTTTCAATGCAAGCTTTTTTTTTTTATTAGTTTACTCTGTGTGGTTTATAAATCGAAAGACAAAAATAACCTCCTCATCTCTGCGGCGCTATAAAGCGTTTTTTTTAAAGCGCCTCAGGTCGATGAGGTCGATTAAGCCGTTTCGTGCTGTGAACGTAACAAACTCCTTGCGTGTGAGATCTTTTACTAATGCTGAAGCCTAAGCTCCTTCTGCTCTGTTGACCTCAAGTGTAGTAAAGACCGGCCGTGAAAGTGGCCGTCCACATGGCAGCTGAGCCTACGTCTTATCACAATCACAAATGATCATTCTTTAAAGGCTGCATTTAGTTGGAGCTGTTGTAATGACTTGATCTCAAAAGACGAGTGATAAATATGCCCATTTCATCCACTAGGGGGTGCTGCTGCTGCACTTTAGGGTTAGCGGCAGCAACGACGGGGACGTTGTATGAGATGTTGTGTTTCTGTCCAGAAAGGCCGAGCAGGCTTTACTGCAGCTGAGAGCGATGACTGGTCTCCTGCGTTGAAGCTCGATGGTATGGGAATGATGGACCTCCCCAATGGCCAATCAAGCATCTCCAACACAGCTGCAACAACCTCTGAGGTAAGGCCGCGCCCGCGCCATCTCATCCCCTTTGCACAGCGTCTCCGTGTAGTCTTCTCTCAGTGACTGTGGAGGATGGGTTCACTGCCCCCACTTTCATTGTTAACTCACTAAAGATCAGCCAAACATCGGAATCAGCCGACTTTCCCCTAAAGGCCTGAATGTCACCATGTCATAATGCTGAAAAAAACAATTAAGCTTTTTTTTTTTTTTTTTTTTTTTTTGCTTACAAACACATTGACTAATGTAAGGCATTAAATTCACTTATTTTTGAGTTTCATAAAAAGACAATGTCCTGATTTACAATTGTAATTTTCCTCCAGCATCTAGAAAGACAAACTATAAAGACCTCGTGGTTATTCCACCAAATATTAATTTCTGATCTCTTCCTGAGTTAAAATATTAGTGGTGTTGCTTCTAAATGAATATCAACATGTTTTCTTTGCGTTATCTGAGGTCTGAAAGCGCTGCATCTTTTTTTTTATTTTTTTTTTTTATTATTATTTGTTATTTTGACCATTTCTTATTTTATGCAAATAAAAACTACATTTTTGCTTGGAATGTCAGAGACATGTCAGTAGTTCATAGAATAAAAGAGCAATGTTCATTTTACTCAAACGTAAACCTATATAAAGTAAAATCAGAGCAACTGATCATTTTAAGTGCTCTCTTAATTTTCTCCAGAGCTGTAAGTTCTCTCTCTCATTATTATGTTTAAAACTAAGTGCTTTTATTGTTTTAAATCATTTCCCGCAAACGTCATCCTACTGAAGAAACTTTATCAATCCTCTTTTAGTACGTGTTTTTTTTTTTTTTTTTGTCTTACTAAAGGTTGTATAACGTTTGCATTCTGCCGGTACCCGGGCCAAAATGGCTCTTTGGTTTGTAACGGTTCCAGACACCCAATATAGACGACTACACGTAGTTAGAACCAGGACGTACATAATCCATTATGCACTTGTTCATTACGACCATCGGGGAAATCATGTAAAACTGAAATGAGCAGAAATGTTTCAATAATCAAAGAAAAATAGTAAATCTCTATTTGATAATGGAGAAAACAAAAATCTGTCCCTAATTCCTGACGACGTTTGTTGTTTTTCCCTCGCAGAAGAGCAGCAGCTCAGAGTCTCTCAGCGATAAGGCCTCTTCCGAGCTGAAGAAGAGTTTCGACGCCGTCGTGTTCGACGTGTTGAAGGTCACTCCTGAGGAGTATGCGGTGAGTCCAGTTCCAAGTGGTCTGCCGTTTCCGTCCGCTCGTCGAGTTAAACCGTCCGTACGAGTGTTTAAAAGCAGAGTGCTTGGTAGGCTCAGAGGGGAAGTGCTGAGCTGAGATGGAGCGATATAAGAGGAAATGAGGTCTGGAGCAGCAATAATTAATGATGTTTGGCAGTGCCAAGTCGGCACTCGGGGAATTCCCTCAGCTGCCACTGCACACACTCTCCAATGGTGTCTCTAAATAAACCTCAGAGTCACGTCTGTAATACTTTACAGGCTTTATTCTGCGATTCCCAATTCCCTTTTGTGATAATTCAAACGAGGATCTTTTCTTGATCTCTGGTTAAAATGTTCTTGATGCAATCACTTGCTTGTGCTGCCGTTTGTGACCACAAGATGGCAGTCTGATCTTCGTTTAAGATTTAGAGGCATTTCTAATGTGCTCAAGGTTTTAAAATCACTCTTAGACCTCGATGAATCATTTTCTAGTCGTTGAGAAGTGCCTAGCTCAAGAGTCGGCAACCTGCGGCTCTTTGGACTTTCACCAAAGGCTCTTCAAAACTTGAACTACATTTAATATTTTTATAGAACAAACTCATGCTTTTGAAGCTTTTCCATTTTTTAAATGCAATAATTGTTTTGAATTTCTACAACAGAATGACACTAAAAGTAGATAATGACTATTTGTCTTGACCTGTATGCATTTTATTTCTTTTTACATAGTTGCATTGACATCCCATCCTTTTTTTTTTTTTTTTAACGAAGGTTGTCAAATTTGAATTTGTTCTCAAAAATGTATGGTAAATATTCATCAAAAAATAAAATCTAAACTTCATTTAACATTTGCTGCTCTAAACGACTTAAAAAATATCCACTTCAACTGTTACGGTTGCAGACGCCTGGTGTAGCTTGAATAAGTTGTGCATTGTCGGTGTAAAAACAGTTATTAACATCGATGTTGATGTTGGACGTTTGTTGTTGGGGAAAGCTGTTTCTTTAATATTTTGTCTCAGGAAGTCTAACATCTGCTGTGTTGTCTCCCTCAGGGCCAGATCACCCTCATGGACGCTCCTGTGTTCAAAGCCATCCAACCAGACGTGAGTCACCAAACTATGTGGTTCAACACCTTTAAATTAATATAGTTCCCTCTACTGAATCAGAGGCTTTAGCTGGGCTTCTCGGGCTAATAACTACAAACTTCATCCTATGTGTGTGTGTTTTTTTTTTTTAATAATCTAACAAATAAATATAGATATTAGCTTTAGTACTTTTATTTTAGCTAGTTTTCACACTTCAGGGTTTTCACACTTTGCAAAATGGTGGGAGAAAAAAAAAAGACACCAGTTTTGTTAAATGTCTGTAAGTGGGATGTTTTAACCTGTAAGGTGGATTTGGTTTAGTCATAAAATTATTCTTTAGGGAGCTTTGTGAGCACCGACAACATTTGAAAAGCAATTTTGTCAGAAGTGAGCATGTTAAACCCAGGACTGGGTTGGATTAAACTTTCTGAGAAGGCGCAACATGACCTCAAACCGCAGTCACACACAGTAATTGCTTTTTTTTTTTTTTTTTTTTTTAATCAAAGCAGAGCCAGTGCTAACCCAGGAGTCTGTTCTTTACCGGTTCTATTAAAGAGCCAGTTTGGTTTTCTGCAGCCAGAGATCCAGCTCAATACAATCTCGTTTTCTCCGCCGTAAATGTTTCATCATTCATTGATTTAATCCTGAACGTCTGTGGATGATTATAACTTACGAAGCCAGTTGTTTTAGTCATATTAAAACAACCCGTTGATTAATATCAACAGGAGTGGTATGTTGCAGATTTATTATAATATTAATGTTGCGTAATGAGAATATCACAAGAGCTGCTTGGACTGCAGTAATTAATAGCTATTCCACGCATTGATCTGAGGTCAAAGTTTAGAGTGGACCTGGAAGCAGAAAGACGAGAACATTGTTTAGTCAGGTGTTTGCTTATCACGGCTTACATCGTAATCGTGCCATTCGCCAACCCCGTGGCGTGTCGTGCGGCCGTTAACAGGAGCCAGCTGCCTGATTAAAGGCCTCGCCGTCACTGTCCAGCATCCGCCGGATACAGAGTCCAGTCAGCATTAGTCATCAGAAACCACGACGAGTTCTGGCGAACTCAGAAGATGATAAAAAATGCTTTCAACATTCCTCTGGAGCAGAAACGGAATCGTCCAACACTGCAGAAGAACGATCTGAGCGAGTATTTTTGGCCTAGTTTCTAGTGCAAATGTCTTGAACTAACTTGTTTTAAGTCAATAATTCCTGAATTATGCTGCTGGAACTAGTACTTTTAGATCAATATTAAGGTTTTTTTTTAGTTTTTTTTTTTTTTTTTTTTTTTTACTTAAAATAATCTCCTGTTTATTGCTGAAAAATTACTTTGAAGTTAGTTCTGTCTTATTTCAAGTGCATTAGGATATTTGCTAGAAACTGGAACAAAAGTACTTGGTAAGATTTTGTAGTGTACTTTTTTTTTTTTTTTTTTACAGTTGCACGTTTTACCGTATTTTATTGAGGCTGCATGTACCGGATCAACACGGGGTCCACCACAACTGTAAAAGGTCCTGTTTACTGACTTGTATCTTACTGTCAGCAGTAAATGTGTCTGCTTATGTGATGAGTGAAGCACTACGATGATGATACACTGACTGTTAAGTTTCACCAAATCAAATACATGCTGATTAATGCATACAGGTGATTCGCTACATGCAGCCAAACGAAGAGTACGTCTCTATTGCCACCACAGCAGTATAGTGGGCATGAATACTCAGTGGTGTTGCCTGTTGTAGGCGTCTGTCTGACCTCACCTGACCTCACCTGACCTCAGCCCCATTTAGTGTTGGGTTGTGGTGTGGCACAGGGACGGATGAGGTGTCCAACATTGGTAGGACGACTAGTGAGGGGCGTCCAACTCGTGGCAGAAAACTTGGTTTATTGAATTTAAATAAACATTAGTTTGTGTCAGTGAGACGGTTGAGTGTTTTTTGAAAGTGTGGAATTGTCACAGATCTCAAATTCTATTTATTTATTTAGATGAAGTTTGAGTCGCATCTTCAATGTGTTCTGCGACGGTTGAGGCTACTGCTAACTAGCTAGTAACTATTAACTGTTGATATAGCCTTACTAGCTGGATTGCAAAATTTTTTTTGTCTGTCATGGCAAAGTTCAAACCTATTAGCCAGCTGGCTGGGCAGCGTTCGCCTTCGCTATTGGCTTGCTCAGGGCATTCTGTGTAAAAAAAAAAAAAGCATGACTCTACGGGGTTAAGATTGTCGAGAGAATTGCGAAATGTGTAATTTTCTTCAAATTTCTGTCGTGATGCAGGTCTTAAATTGAACTCATAATGGTCTTTAAAAGGTCTTAACTCTCAAACCGGTCTGCCTTTGATGCATAATAATAAATTTTGCTCAAATTCTCAGCGTTATAAAAATATTCCGGAAATTTGTGCCTTAAAAAAAACAAAAAAACAAACTGCCCTCGCCTGACCTGTTCTAAGAAATGAAAATGTAAATAAGTCAAATAAAACTTCCTCATCAGTTATCATCAGCTTTGTTCTTCTATTTTCCAAAATCTGCTATCTCGTGGCCCAACCACTTGCTTTCAACTTTTGTTATCAGTAACCAGAGTCCCCCAAACCAAACCCGGTGTAGATATCACAGCTATGCAGATGAAGGCTGTCCCACCTTTTCTTGGTATTTGGCCCATTGAGAGTCTCTGTGATCTCATTCGTCTTCCCCTTTGAGCTGCTGGGGCCTTTTTGACAGCAGGCCCGGATTAGCAGGGTTTAAGGTTTACCACTGCAGCCTTAGAGAAACAGCATGCAGCAACATATGTGTGTGACGCTGGAAACTGAGTTCAGCACTTGCTTTCATTCATTGTCGTTCTGTTGCATGCTTCCTTATTCTTTTTGTTGGAAGCAAAAGAAAAGTTGGAGCTCTGGCATACGTTTAGTTTGTCCAGCTTGTTCAGGAGTTAACCATGCAAAATGAAAATGTAGTCTGGGTGAAATTGAGCCGGACTGGATATTTTAAGTAGGAGTCAGAATGAGAAGGAGCAGAGGGTGTGGTTCCCAGGGTGACCCAGCAGAGTGGACCATGGAGGCTCTCTGGCTTTTCTTCCGTCTCGCCGAGAAAAACCCCACGGCGCTACGACTGAAGGGAACTCTGCTTGAGCTTCCACCGCCGTCTTCCTCGCGTCCTCGTTGCATAATGGGAAAAGCACCCGGGCGTGCGTCTTCAGGCTTCACTCTGTTCACGGCCCAAATAGGAAAAATGTTAAATAACTCAATTCCTCGAGTTATGCAATAGTGTTTTTATTGACTTGCAGCCCATTTTTTCTTTTTTTCACCCTCTGACCGTTTAGTTTCATTGAATGTTGTGTGAATTTTGATTCATCGTTGTCTCAATACAAAAGTGACGGCGTTATCAGAAATGTGATTTTTTTTGCTATTTCCTCACTCAGTTTGTTCCACAAGAGGATCAATAAATATCAGTAAGTTTAAAATTCTGATTAAATGCAGGTAATGTGTGCAGCTTAAGTGTCTTTAAGTGAACGGCGTCCTGCAGAAGATTTCAAATAGGAAAGGTGTTCATGATCAGTATGTATTTATTTTATCCATTTATTTATTTGAATGCTGTTTTAGATCAAGCACTTGTCGAAAAAGGAAGCAAAAAATCATTTTTTCAATCACAATTTTAACGTTATCACAATTATGCAACAAAATGTCACGATGAAATCCCAAGTCCGTATCGTCCACATCATGTTACAACCTCACAATCTAACTCATTTTTCTGGGACTCTGTTTCAGTTTAAGCCAACAACATGTTTTCATGACTTAACAAAACGGCTGTAGTTATTTCAACAATAAATACATAAATTGACTCTCTTTGCTAATCAGGTGACGTCTTAAGGGATTTTGTTCATTTTGGGGTATCTGACTAAAGGGGGGCGAGCACAAGTGATGTTTCGTGTAGCGCTGGTCAGGTTATTTAAAATCCCATAACTTGACAAAATGTGGAGAAGTTCAGGAGGCGTGGATATTTTTATTTTTTTTTTTCCCCCGAGGCATTTTTACATCTTGTATAATTCCCTTTAGATGAGAGAGTGGAAACAAGGCCATGATCGCTCGCGTTTCCATGACGCTGCATGATGTCACACTCGTTTCGTTTCACAGCTTTAAGGCGGTTAGCGTTCAATGAAGATTTTTTATTGCTTTTATAAACTCTCTTAACAAATCCAGATGTTTTGAGGACTGATTCTTAGTAACATGACTCCAAAAAAGTGGAATCAACATATTCAATAAATTTCATCTATCTTTTTTTTTTTTTTTTTTTTTTGCGAGACAACAAAGAGGAATGCCTTTACGAGACATTTTGGCTGGATTTTATAATCCTGCTATTGCTAGATTTAGACACCGTGGCTTCATAACTTCTAATTAAATTGTTTGTTTTCCTTCACTCAGCCTCCACAAACACTTCATAGCCATCACAAAATCTCACCTAGAGCCCGTGTACGACTCTTTAGGAGAGCAACAGCCGCTCACCGATTGCACTTTCACTTGCCTAAATGATCCGGAAAACGTTGCAGTAGAACAGAAGATGATAATAGCTTAAACGTTTTGTCGCTGACTCGAAGCAGATGTATGGAGAAGAGCCCGGATCGTCCAGCCAGACGTTGTGGATCAAGAAGAACTTCTCACCTTGTGCTGTGATGCCAGTGGGAACACTCCCCCGCACCCCTCCAAAAAAAAAAAAAAAAAAAAAAAAATTTAAGGTGGGAATTTTTTTCCAGGTCTGTGTGGAGGCGGCGCAGTGCCCACACCCTTACAGGTTTAAATGTTTCGGATTATCAGAGAAACGGTTTTTACTGCAGACGAGGTCGTGCTGAGAACGTGAAAACAAGACGCGGTTTTCACACGATGATTCGATTTCTGAAGGGATGTCATCCAAACCGAGCCGGCTCCGAGTGCAAAGCAATCCCAGTCTAAACCCAACAACCGGCCGTGCCACGCTTTGAAGCAACGGCTGCCATCGAGTGTTTCCGCTCCCTGGCCTCCAGTTTTGACTCAC